AACACTACGATAAAATTAGTATTTAGACACGCAATTTCATTTCATGAGTCGATTTTAAATTCCTTAAAAAGCATAATTGAACATGTTCATATCATAATTTCACATTTTTCAAATAAAAAAGTTGACTCACAAGTTTATATTTTGCGGGGGAAAAAACACACCTTATATCTTCATAATTTTTTGCGAGAATGTTAAAGAAGTGATAAAATATTAATGAAATATGAACGTGATGATATAGTTACGAATGGTATGTGATTATGCAGGAGATGACAGTTAATATTACCTTAATATGAAAATGTGAAAATTGAGAATTAATTAATAATTGAGTGTTGTCACACTTATCTTTACACAGGAACAAAACCCAAGCAACCATCGAATAATGAGAAAATATATATTAAGAGATCATCAGTAGACAACCTAAAACATAGCAAATAAAGACTTCATTTCAATTATCTATGAACAACCATATAAAATAATAACAAGAGATTGAAACATTAGAGGTAAAAATGGACTTTTTTTTCCTCACTATGGTCACATAAAATGAATCAAAAGTTCCCAAACAGTGTTAGTTGTTCTTTAAATTATTTTCATAATTAAAGATTAAGGTATATGATCAAGGAAATATTATAACAAATACACTAAATATGTATTAAGCCTACACAAATTATTAATTCACACAAATTAACATACTAACTAAGCACCCAATCTTAATAATACTTAATAAAACATGATTTTAAAATCTTGAGTCAACCACTAAAATAAGCAATTCTCAATTAATGTTCACGTTGCATCATTTAAATAATCTCATCATTATTTAATTCTTCTGGTTATAGTACTCTCGCGTTATAATTATATATTTTTTATAACTAAACTATTACCCCTAACACGGGGCCCCATTATATATATATATATATATATATATATAGTGTGCATGTATTATAAATGTATTATAAGTGTGTTATAACCTAGATCATTTGATTGGTATTACTAAGAAGAGAGTGAAGTTTGCAAATTATAAATGTATTTTTCATGAATAAAACTTATATTATATGTGTCTAATAAATTATTTTGATTTGTATCACTAAGAAAATGAGTGGCGGTTGCAATATGTATTAAAAATGTATTGTGCATGTCTTATAAAAATATTATTAGTGTGTTATCTAAATTATTCTTGTTGGTATCACTAAGAAAGGAGTGAAGTATGCAATATGTATTATAAATATATTATTCATGAATAAAACATGTATTATATGTGTTTTATAAATTATTTTGATTTGTATCACTAAGAAAAAGAGCGATGTTTGGAATATGTTTTACAAATGGATTGTGCATGTATTATAAATGTATTACAAGTGTTAAAAGTGAGTGAAGTTTGCAATATGTATTATAAATGTATTATTCATGATTTTGATACAATTTTAATACAATTATAAAATATATCTAATACAACTTTAATATAATTGTGATACAATTTCATAAACTTCATTGTTTTTCGAGCTTCAATCTAATATTTCTTCTACAATCAATTCTAAACTTAACCAAATCCTCTTAAAATTGAGATATAAACTCCAAACGATATTTTCAATTATTTGTAGGAACAACTTATCCAAACTAATCACAAATTCGTAAAACTTAAATAATGAATTCAAAATTGAAAACTATTCTAGAATATCTCCGATTAGAAAGAAGATGACAATACATTCCTTCTTACACAAGAGAACAATGGGATAATATTCCTTCTTTTAGTATTAAAATTTAGCAATAATTTATGAATGAGAATACCAACTCATCATCAGATCTCAATTAGACTTTACTAAACACTCACTACTGAAATTTGGATCAAAATTGATTGACATGGTTGGTTTTGTAAGGAAGACCAACGCCAAATCGATGCAATGTACATCGTCAATTTGGCATGATTTGGATCACGAAACTAGAGGACATGGTCGGTTAAAACTAATGGACAACTTACTTAGACTGTGAGTTTCAATAAATTAAAAAATGACAAAGAATATTTTTAAAAAAAATGAAGAATCGGGTCAATTTTTAGAAATATACAAGAAAATATAGTTACACTAGACAATTCTACCACTCAGCCATACATGTTCTCTGATGAAATTTTTCATATCTGTCAAGGAGGGGAAGTTTTTACCCATCTTTTTCGTGAGAAATTTATCCACATACACTTTGCATATTCTGGTATAATTTAGATTACACAGAACAAGACCATGGAACTGAAAGACAATTGCGTGAACGGATTTGCTCGTGATTGATGCTTATTATCTATAATTATGTGTTATCCATATTACATTCAAATTATCCCAACAATTTACTTATGTTGCTTATTTTTATATTCCAACAATATCTTCATATATAATTGACAAAATCGATATTTTATGTATTTTTCCAAACTACTATGTACACCCTCACCCTTTACATAAAGCATAAAGTATTAAAGAGGTCATCATTACTCCTCAAGAAAAGGTGAAAACACAAACCTCTTAGGGGCCGTTTGGTACAAACATTGATAACATAGAGATTAGTAACGCAGGGATTAGTAACGCAGAGATTAGTAATACAGGGATTAATAGTGCAGGGATTATTTTTTGTAAAGTGTTTGGTTCATTGCTTCCCACTTAATCTTGTGTTTGATTTAAAACTCTACAAATTTTTTTTTTCCTATTATACTCTTGTGTTATTATGAGATTGTTTATTTCATTAATTGGGTCAAGGTTGATAGCCGGACCATAACACTACAATTATTTTTTTTAGAAAATAACAACAAAGAAAAAGAGTGTTATAAATTGAAATAATTTTTTTTCTTTTTTGTGCATAATTAATAACAAGAATTTAATACTACACAACAGTTGAATAAAATTCATAGTATAAAAAAAAAGCTAAATCATTATTTGTTTATTTTTACAAATTTTAACCCGTGTGATTATTGTATATGGCAACCGGATGTTGACAAAAGAGTTTAAACTTATCAAAAATGAAGATCTAAAAATATACTTATACAATTTTATACCAAAGTCCCTTACCCGGATAATAATTAATCAAAGTTGTTGTGGGACAATATTTATTTTTTTAGGATTTTCTATTTCATTTAACTAGTTAAGTTAAATATATATATAAAAATAAAATAAAATTGAGGTATGATGTATCACTTTTTTGTTGGTCAAGTATATCTTAAACTTAACATAGATTTAAGACTACTTATATTGTTCAATAGCTAAAGCTCATTAAAAAAAAATAGTCCAAGTGGTTAATCGACGAACTACATTGAATAAAAAAAAGGAGAAAAAAATATTAATGAAATCATTAAATTACACTAAACGAATTTGGAGAATTAAAAAGAACATTTATAATTATTTCAATATAAATAAAAAGAAAATTAAATTACGAAAGAAATTTAGGAAAATGAATAAAGGGATAATTTTGTCTTTTAGGGGTCTTATCCAAGATTTAACAAACCTTGGATTAGTTATCCCTCCATTTACTAGGAATAAAATAAGACCATATATGATGTATAAGTAATTCATGGATTAAATAAAATAATGAAACCAAACAATGTATTAGATGAATTAAATTTTAATCCATGGACTATTCTATTTAATACCGCCTACCAAACGAGTCCTTACTATCTCACAATCACGACAATGCACCTAAAGTTTTTTTTTTCCCCTTTTCCAATTCATACTTCTCCAACTTGAGTTTTATTTTATTTTTATTTTCCACCCGGTATCTTCAAAACCTTTGATTAAAAGAGGGGTGTAAATAATTGTAATAAATTAAAAGAATATATAACAAGGCTAGTAAGGCTTGAACATGCGATCTCATAGATTTTTATCAACCCCTTAACTAATAGAGTAAATCTTCACCTTGTTTTAAGAGTTGTTAATACTTGTATATATATTTATTAAATTAAAATTTGACCTCTATATGTAATTTTCTGGTGAAGGGATGTCGCTTGCCACCCCTTGACCAAGGGTTGCTCTTCCGCTAATAACCACATCTACTGCACCACATCCTTTGATAGTTCCAACTTGAAACCAATGCTATCCTATGCCTTTTCATTGATTGGTGAACCTAAAGTATATGCTCATCTTTTTTTGAATATTAATTTATATTTTTAATATTGCAAAGTGGAGTACAAGCTAGATTATTTGTGTTTGTTTACCCCACTTGTTTTTTTTAAAAAATGGAATAGAATACTTTAATTAGTAATTGATTAAGAAATTTATCAATGATTCATATTGATCAATGAAAGAGCAAACTATTCATTCAGGCACTTAATAAACTAATTAATTTTTTTTGGTGTAATGGTATTTTATGATAGTGGGTTACTAACTGATCTTGGCATATAAATTAGAAAGGGTAATGCTAAATGACCAGAAAATTTGGTCAGAAAATAAAAAAAGTCTATAGTATTTTTTTTATTTAAAGTTAAACTAATTTATTTTTTATTTTTTTAATTAAAATATATTAAAGTTAAAAAAGTAAGAATGTTTAAAAAGGTAAAATAACATATATTTTTTAATTTTCTGACCAAATTCTGGCCAAATTTATTTTTCTAATTAGAAACATCACCACCTTTATGAAGACAACATTATGATTATTTCTTTAATTATAATGTACGTTGGGAAATGAGAGGTCTGCATAAATATACTTATTTCTCTCTTCTATATATATTTCTTTTCTATCTATCTTCTCATCTCATCATTCTATAGAAGTGGTGGTGCCCTTGGACGATCAAGGGTACTCCCATAATTTGTCCCTTTTAAATCATATAGAAGTGGTGGTGCCCTTGGACGACCAAGGGTACTCCCGCAATTTGCCCCTTTAAAATCATATTAAGATAGGTACCATCTTATCCCTAGATTACAAACACGTGTTGTTACCTGTTTCTATCAAATCCAAGACACGTATTTACACAGTACGACGAAGGGTATTTCTGTTAATATTTATATTACTTAAAATTACGTGTCTATTCACTACAATTTCCATTTTTCCAAACATATCTGTTTCTATTGGACTACAATTGAATTCTCACCTGTCTTCTGCTAAGTTCTTCCGTTTCTCAGCCGGTGTTTTGCTATTTCGGATTTGCCGGCTAATTTCTAGCTTGTATCATTCTTCTCAATTCTTGAAGGGATTTTTGCCCATTGCTTTTCAATTTGTTTAAAAGCTTGTTTATTTTTCCTTCAATCTTGGTTTTTCTATTCTTCCACATAATCTACTGCTTGCCTTTTTTATGTTAATGTCAATAATCCTATCTTCACACATGCATAGTTGAAAGTAGATGATTGTTACATGCAACTGTATACTATTTTGGATTACTGATTATAGATGTCTTTTCTACTTTTGGACCTAATTAATCACTGCAAATCTCATTATTTCTGTAAAATTCTATTATATTAATCTTCCGGTTTTAAGATTGTCTCTTTAGTGCTTAATTTGTGTTTATATATTCATAGTGAGTTAACATACTTTCATCGTGTTCGTTATATTTTATACTCCGAGACATTTTTCATTTTCATTTTTTCATTATTTTTCTCATTCCTTACTAGGATGAAGTTTTAAGCTAGGAAGACGAATGAACCAAAGGTGTTCGATGATATCCCTGAATGACTTAACTATTTGGCAAGAATTTCTATTGTTTCTTTTTTTTCACTAGCGAGTAAATTAGGACTGCATTCAATGATGTAAGGTTATGCATCCCTTGGATTTTATTTAGTATTGTATTTCACAGGCTCCTGAAGTCAAATTTGCTCGAGGTGAAGAAAGTGGGAGAATACATATAGTACTAACAATTCTTTACTTTGTCTTTCTTCTCAGTATTGGTTGCCTATCTAATGTGACCTTGTGGCGATCTCCAGAGATATGGAAGGTAGGCAACAATTGTGGTATCCTTCACTCCACTGTCGTATCAGGTTTGGTAGTTTTTCTAAAAAAAAAAATAAGTATTTCTCAATGGATTATCTGTTTATGACCTTCTAGTTCTTCCCTTATTTCTATATTTTCTGGTGTAGCAGAAAGCAGGTGGAACTTGAACTAGTATTTATGTGTTTCTTGGAACAGGGAAAAGGGAATGTTTACCTGAGTTTCAAAAGTTGCTCATCGGATTTTACTTTTGGAAATTGGTAAGTTGAATCTTAAATATTAATCTTCAGCAGTCCCTCGTTAGGCTTTACGTGGTTTTAAGTTCTGGTATAATCAAGTTATTTAGAAAGAGCAGACACAACGAGCTGTTACACCAGCTGCAAAATATGTTGTTGGAAATGTTTCTTGTATTTATAATAATTATAGATGTCCTACGAAAATTAACCAAACACCTTTTCCTGGGAAAAATGAATTAGAATCGTAAATGCCCCAGTAATCAATGTACTACAATGTAGCAGGCAAATATATCTTCTTTATTTCTTTTTGTAGCCTTCGCTTGAAATTTTGTATAAGATGATTGTGCCTCCTATATATCTTGGGGTTATCAATTCTGCTATACTCCTCTTAGAGAACTATGAATCCAAAATGAGTTGTTGATCAGAAAGGTATAAAATATCCCTTAGGACACTATAGCTGTCCATGATAATTCCAAAAGAATTGAAGATTGTGCCTAAATGTTATTAGGAGTGGAACAGTCAGAGTCACTTCTTTTATTTTATTTTCTGTACTCTTTTATCATTGAATGATTCATTTTCGAGTTCTTGTATAGCGTTAGGCTCGATCATTTCAACTAAGAGAAAATAAGAAAAAATTTCGAGTAAAATATAATAAGCGAAAGGAGAACAGGTACAGAATGAAGATTAGACTTGAGTAATAATTCAACAGAAGGCTGTACAAGTCTTGTTCAGTCATCAAAGCTACACTGCACTCCAAATCGATGAAGCTCAAAATAGTAATATGAGGTTTGAGAATATGAGATGAAAATTTAAGAGGACTAAAAGAGAATCTTATCCTAAACTTCCGTGAATCTTCTTATTTTATTTTGAAGAGGAGTGGAAGACTTATATAGTAGCTTGACCTTAGCCTTGACTCTTACGGTTAGAGAGTCTTGGTATAAGAAAAGAACTGAGGCAAACGAACAAAATGCCCCTACTTTTGTTTTAAATAACCAAAAAATAGAAATCTGACCAACTTTTGTTGCACAATGCACAAGAAATATATGTTAACATGAAGAAAAGTAAAGTATATTTCGGATGAACTCAACAGTCCTGTATGCAAAAATCAAGTGTGCATATTACCAATTTTAATTTTCTCCGTTCGTTTTGCTGAGTTTCTTTTCTTATCTGGGGTAGTACATGAATATTCACATGTTGTACTTCGACTACGCCTTTCAGCCTGGCCGTAAGAACTGAAATGTGACAACATTTTTTTGACTTTGTTGCATTGAGATGTGGCGTACAGTTAGTAAGGAGTCGAATGCTTTTGACATTGTAACAGATATAGTTATGCCCACAATCAAATCAGAGAAAGCACAACTGCTTGGCCACTATAAGGTAGTTGAGCGAAAAATGTGTCCTCTTTTATGTAACAATGCTTGTTATATTTTTGTTGTCCCACTGCCTTTTGAATAGTAACTTTTAACTTATAATTCTGAAGTCAAAAGAGACAAGTAACAGATTAGAAGGAAAAGTTTCTTCGTCTTGCCCTGACAAATTTTATATACTAGGTGTATTCTTAGTGTGGTACCCTTCTTTTTGCCCCATTCAAAATACCGAATGAGCTTCAATATTGCAATTAGTTGTGTGCGCAAAGGTTGGTTCTGACAGACCCTCGGCTCAAGACAAATACAATCTAGAAGTTAGAAAATTCTTAACTGCTGCAGCGTATTCACAATTGGCTTATATTTTTATTTCATAATTACCATACCACTACAGTCTACGAAGTCTTTAAGTTTCTTTGCTTGAATGTTGGTCTATATGGAAAACGTAACAAAACAATAGACATTTTTACTTTTGTAAGAATACTAATGTCTCACCCTAGAAACATGACGTCTCCAAGATAATTTTTGTCTCTTTGATTTGGACCTCCATTCATTTTCATTAAGTAACAAAATTCTAACCAAATTTTTCGTTCTTATATTGTTTAACAGTGGTAAATAGTATGAACCATGGGGATGGTAATCTCTTTGATGTTTTGAATGGATTTTGCATTGTGTCTTACCAGCTTCCTGTACAGTCTGTTCCTGCTTAATTTACTCTCGAAAGAAAAATGTTGTACAAGTTGTTGCAGTTTCGATATCACCTTCACCCTTAGAAAAACGTATAGTAGAAATTAGATTGTTGTATTTTATACTCATTTTTCATCTATATATAAAAACTATAACTTTTACATTTTTCTCTATTCCAGGTTGCATGAAGACATTTGATTCAGTCCCTGCTCTGAGGAAAGCAGTTATATTAGGCTACAACCCTATTACACCTTGGATGTCTGTAGTTTACAGGTATGCCATTACAACTAATCGTTTTGCTTCGAAAATAGCCATATTTTATAATTTCTATGGCTTCTTGAAACAACTTCTTGATTTGTATGCCTATTTTGAATTCTGATTTAGGATTTCAATTCTCGTGAGCTAGTACTTTTACGATGGTTTATCATATGGCACCCAACATACCCTTCAAAACTTCTGATGATATCTCCAATAAAATTAGACTACATTTTCAATTATCCTTTTCTTTGACATTTTGATGACAAACACCATAAAGTTTAACCATCTGATTATGAAATGAAAGTATTCCGTCGAGGTGCACCATGTAACCGATCAAGAGATTCTTGAAAGGTGGGACACCATTCCTGTCTTTGTGGTTGATCTGAATCATACTACATCTGGTAGAAAATGATTAAAACAGATTCCTTCTATGTTATTATTATTGTTCTCTTGCAATTGAACAAAAAGTTAGGTCTTCTCTCATCTCTAGATTTAAAAGTTAAAGTAGATGTTGTTCCTTTATAACACACATCGAAAGATCAACAACAAGTGAATACACAGAGGCTGCATACAAGTCCCTCTTCTTGTGAGGATATATATATATGTATGCTGTAGTCGTGTCAGCATGCAAAAAATGAATGCAAAATTTGAAAAAACAAATTAAATTAAATTAATTAAAATGAAAGAAGGCGCACATGCTCTGCACCTTGTAAGGCAATGTTGCCTTGCGCCTTGTTGTTCATCCTTCTAAATTCCCGTGAAACTTAATCAACACTGTAAAAGTTTCATGTGTATATATTTCAAAAAAATTTACAGTGTTGAATCAAATCAACATTGTAATTTTCACGTGATAAATATTTGAACAAAAATAAAAATAAAATAATTCGATTAATAGTCGAAAATTATTAGATAAAGTGATAAAAAAAATTATTTTCTTCGTAATTTATTCATATTAATAAAGTGAATAAAGATAATTAAAAGGTAATATATTAAAAAATGAATGCAAAAAAATGAATTGTACCAAAAGTAGTATGAGTTGTACCGTTAAAGTAGAGTTGAATAAGGGTGTACTAGGAAATTAACATTATATGTAGTCTTGCGTGGTTCTTTTGTGTGGGGAGTGTCCCCACGTGTCCTAATTAAAATTTGATTTCATTGCATGCCGTTGATCTTTCTCTATGCTCTCTCAAATTTTCTGTCTTTCTGTCAATCACACTCTTTCGCTCTCTGTTTTAGAAGCTTCTGGGTTTATGCTAAGGTACTTTTAGTTTGTTGATTTATCTTTATTTATTTATTACTAATAATGTTAACCTGATTTTGCGAATCTTACTTTAGGGTTAAAATTTGAGTTTTTCTGGTCAAATTTGGTAAATATGATTGTGGTGCTAATCGGACAGAGGAGCAGGTTAAAACCAAACATTTGCAAGAATCTCTGAAATTTGAGGTTTTATGGATTGTGGTGATTCGTGCAAAATATAATGATTTATATTCATGCCTCTTTCTCTGGTTCCATTTGGGATTGGAATAATTTCAGAGAACGTGGCCCAAATGTGGATGTTGACCGCATGGTAAGATGTAGGCTTAAACAAGCTACAATGATCTTAGTCTAGCATTAGACGATGTTGGTAAGACGAGCCTTAGAAATTATAAAATGCTCGTGTCATTTTTCAATCAATAGATTCAACACAAACTCTATAAATTATTATTGTCAGGCGTGGCCAAACTTGTGAAATTGTCTTTGCTACTGATGCTTCTTAAATTTCTTGGTAAGTTGATTATATGTTTTAATTGTAAAAACTTGCTGGTTTATATTGACCTAATGAATGTTATGGTTCTCCTTTATGGAAAAGAGCTAAGTAGGAGTATTTTTGTTTTATGCTTTGAAAGCTAATTCACTAGAAGATATTCTCTTCTCAAAAAGAACTTACAAATTCTAAAGCATATTTAAATTTAATGTCTGAACATTGTGATTTACCATAGTGAAAATCTGCTAATATCACTATTTATAATTTTATACCTTTATAATGTATTTCTCTCTAGAAGAAAGCTAATTTCGGGATAATTTTTAAGTGTAGCTTCTGTTGGTGTAAAAAACCGCAAATATAATAAATTACAGTTGAAAATAAAATATACAAAAATTGAATAAATTATCATTTAGGCTAAGGTGCGGATATCTCATGTTTAAATCAAGTTGGAGGTGAAAGAAAACTTATTACATAAATAACATATAATTATCTAATGATTTCACAACTGTACAATTCTTTTTCCCCTTCATTTTAGTTTTATAGTAGAAACATCCCCTAAACTATTTGATGTTGGAAGTTAGGGGTTTTAAAATATATAAAAAAAAAGGGGAATATATTGAGCTTTTCGATGCAGTTGAGCTTCCTTGTGTTTCTTGTGCTTATGTCTTATAAATTTTAGAGCCATTTAGACTATTTTTTATTTTACTAATATGTACTTTTATAGTTTTATTACATGGAAGAAATAGCAGAAAGTATGATTTGAGAAGTAAATACAAGAATTTGCATGCCAAGCTCTTCAAAAGCAAAGTCGATAACTGGTAGTTAAGACATGAGACATTGGAGCTGATTTTCGACGGATGAATCAAGGTTAGATTAATTCGTTAGTTGTTCAAATTATATCCAACAATATCATCATTCAGCTTAGTTCTTCTCTATAGAGACTATATTAGATTATATTATTTAACAGATTGAATAATCTCTATAATACTATCGATTAGTTCTTCTCTGTAGAGTCTATATTAGATTATTGAACAAATTGAATATTCTCTATAATACTATTGATAACTAAGCTTTTTCCCTAATGACCTAAGTACTTGAAACCGAATTGTGTGATGCATCACACGATAAATTTGTTGTCAATGCTACATGAGGTTTATTTATTGAGGTTGAGACGAAATTAGATATGAAGTTCAGAGTTTGTCATTTAGCCCTCTGTTAAGTCTTTTCTTCTCATTAACTCCCATCACATGCAAGATCAATTTTTTGATTTCATTGCTAAATGCTACTGCATATACGGTATATGGCATGAATATCCTGACATGTATTGGCCTTTTGATTTCTACACCAGATTACGGTTATCAGTGTCTTTATATCTACCTTTTCTCCGACCTGAAATTTTAACTTGTGCTGTGTTTTAAGAAAAAGCTATATCAGACTTCATATCTGGTCAGGTCATATTGTATGTATCATTAATGAAAAAATAGTTCTTATATTGATAATTTATAGGTTTTACTTTCTAAAATGTGCAAATGCTGCTCCAAACAAGCTATTTGTTGGTGTTGGTGACCCAAATGCTGATCACAAGTGTTGGGAAAGGCATGAAGATATGGACACTGTCCGTAGCGTCTATTATGTGTCTCCCAGCAATCCTGGTTCTGATGCTGCTGGAGAAATGCCTCATTAGTTTTCCGGTTTGTTGATCCAGTTTATTCGAAAAAGCTACTGGGAAATGCAGTTAAAGTGTTTAGGTCTGTAGTTCAATACAAAGGGTGATCTTATAGTGATTCACTAGGCTCTGCAGCCTTAGTAGCCATAACAACTAAAAGTGGACGGAGGTAGTATGTTATTAAATCTATATTGCAGTAGTCTCAAATAACTTGGCTCCTAAAGATTTAGTAGCCATTGAATTGAACTTGGGTGAAGGTTTTTAGAAGACTAATTACTCAGATAAGTTGGTAATAAATTGAAATGATGTTCCAAATCTTTAGCAAACTTTGATATTTAGTTTTAAGCGATATTTGTGCACTTTCTTTTAGTAGTCATTCATTCGCATGTGTTTTGCTCTTGCAGGGAGCCAATCTAGATGATTCCTTTGAGGATTCACAAATTGGAAGATCACTATTGAGAAATTATTGGTTTTTGTTGTCGTCGTTGATTTTCTCCAACTGTCCAAAGAAGCCAGGTAATGAGAATCCACTGCTTCCATATAATATGGTGTGAAATGTCTTGGACATGAGTTATTTTTCACTATGAATTTTCTCAACTATTGATACTGGTGAAAAAATCCTTCACTAGAAATATCCATATCCTAAATTCAATAGTCTTGTGAGATACCTGGTAAAGATTGGAATGAAGTATAAAGCTATTGCTTTGCATGAGTAACATGTCCTGAGGTACTTGAGATATAGAATAAATTGCGAACAACAGTTGAATTCTTATAAAGACTACTCATTTTTCGTTTCTGTCTTTGCAAGGGGAATATACTTCTTAGTACGATAAAGTGAAAGGAGACAAGACTCAGCCAACTATTGTTTCAGCAAATGATCGAGCCATACAAGAAATAGAAGCTCTGGATGATATTCTTCCTTTTTATATTTCAGGTGGGCAATTTTATTTTTTTCGATCTCCAAAGAACTACTCTCTACATTTCATTGTATGTGACCTGATTCATAATACGAATAATGTACATATTTAAAAACTAAATAAAAAGTACTACTACAAGTTATCTTAGTTAACAACTCAAAATATTTTTAATGTATTTAACAAAGTCATGTTCAAAAAATGCATTTTAACTCTCCAAGTAGTAACTAGATCATAGAAAGTGACCCTTATTTTGTGTGTGACCCTTATTTATTTGTTTTTGCATTGTTTAGTAGTACTTGCAATTTGTGTAATTTCAAAGTCTACGAATAATCATAGTTTGGTGAAAGAAAGTTCTTAGATTTTGGAGAATTATTTAAGGAATATGCTTAGGTTGAGGATAAAATAGAATTATGCTAAAAGTGGTAAATAAAAGTGAAGATCTATCTTTGATATAGTGGACAATACTCTTCAACTGAATGTATATGGTGAGACTTCAATTTTACGATGAGTTCACCCTTATCTGATCAACAGTTACAATATATTTGTTACTTTGAATGTCCATATATAACAGATATTTGGAGAATCAAAGAAGAACAACAAAACGTCCATAAAAGGCCTATATCCAAGAGTTTTCTGACAAGGCAAATCAGAGTGAACATTTCTTGGTTTAATACTCATAGGATCATCCATTACTTGTGGAATTTTTGTTAACAACATGAGTTTCTTCTGTTTGTTTTTTACTCTTTAGAATTGTTAAGTATTTGTTGGAGATCTATGATAGCGTTTCATGGTTTATTGATATTTTCTCTTCTACTCTATCTTTCGTCTACTTCTTTTTCTTATTACTGATTGATTTACCATAAGTATGTTCCGAGGAAATGTGAAGATGGTTAACTAAAGAACTTTAACAATCTTGTGAAATTTGTGTATTAGATGTTATTTTATTTAGATATGTGAAATGCCTATACATTGATAAAGGCATGCTATAGTGAAAAGTAAAGTACTTTGTTAGACATACTTTGTCAATAATGTACCTACAAATGTGTATATTAGTTTTGTTGCATCTTCAGCAAGTATGTCAATTTTAAACGTACTCTTCTTATTTGATAGTTTGAAATTTAATTTACTTGATGCTAAACCTAAATTTGACTTTACGTTATCAGTTCTGTCATCTACATGCACCCTGATGCAATATATTAGCATTTTAGGATATAAACAATACAATTTTAGCTTTATGTTTTTATTTTTTTAAAAATAATTTAGATCTATCCTTCATATCTTCACAACTATATGACTACACCAAATACCTTAAAATTAACTAAATTCTGAAAATATATAGCACGGGCATCGCCCATCTAGTAGTATAGTAGAAGAGAGTTTCAAGTTTTTCAACATGTCAGTTTTGGGTATTAAATAAAAGTTTGAGGGTATTAAAGTCTTTGCAAAGTTTTATTAAATAAAGTTGCTTAACAGAGTTATCTTTTATGCTTTATTAATTGGACTCCATCAAGAGCTCTAAAAAAAGCCCATTCTTTTATCATTTAATTACAAAGTATGCCCCTATAATTCCCATGGAAGCTGAAGATAGGATGGGTCCCATTAGTCTTTATAGAGTATTTTTAAATTTGTTTGGTGAATAGAAGCACACTATTTTTATGTATTGGGCATAAGTTAAATATTATTTTGTGTGTTAATTTTATTTATTCATTATTAAAAGGTATATTTTATTTTAACTTGTTATTATTAAAATGCAAAGTGAGGACAATAATTTTCTTATATTTTATTTTTAATATTAATTATTACCTATTTTTTAAAATTATTTTTTCAACACCTAATATTAAATATTAATTAATAGGAGTATTTTGTGAAAAAAATAGTCATGTTAATCATTATTTTCTTAATAGATAAATGTGACAAATAAAATTGAACAAGAGAAATATATACTTCAAAGTTATATTGAGAAAGTAATTGTGGAAATAAATAAATAATGAGGAGAACCAGTAATACGATGAAAATGTTATTCTCCAATTTGTTGGGATTTTTTGTGAAATCAATTCATATCAATTAATTACAATTAATAACATATATAATTGTTTTTTAATTTAATCTTATATTAAAATGTTTGCTCTTACACTTGATCATTTTAGCAAATTAAGTAAAAAAATATTTTCGTATAATATATTTTTTTTATTAAATAATTATATGAAATACTAATGGTCAATTTATTAATATTTATAATTATTTTATAAATACAAATCTATCTAAACTATAGTTTTAATTAAAGAAACCTAATAATTGATCTGGTTCAATTCAACGTGGTCATTATTTTAGTTTCTGGAATTTGACTATTTGAAAAACATCTTTCGCAAATGCATACTATACTCCTAAATAATTAGGAATTTAGATTTATTTAGAACATTAGTAATATTAGGGAAAATTGTATGAAATAGAAAACTATTAATTTAAATTAAATGTTATAGCCATAGTTTATTTTAATTGTAATTCACAGCAAACATCCCATTTTTTTTTGCCATCTGATTCGGTATACATTAGCCATTTTAGGTATACAATTGACCATTTTATACATTTCGGTATAAAATGCGTTTGTGTTTGTATAAAGCGAGAGAAAGGGGTATATACAAATACAAATACATATATTTTCGTCATATACACTTAGAGTTATACAAATACAGATCTTATTATACAAATTACAACTATATCTATAGCATACAAATATGATTTTTATGTTTGCGATATGTGAAAGTTGCTTTATATATTAATGTTGGGCCCGTGCTGACATGGGCAATTTTTTCTAGTATATATATATTATTTAAAGAACAAAAGAAAACATTAATTTAATAAAACTGAATAAAAATGCTCTCAGTTATCAGTTTGGTCTAAAAAATTTCTTATTGTTAATAGTTTAGTCTAAATTCTCTACGGCTAATAGTTTGATCCAAAAGTACCTTATTGTTACTTAATAGGTCAAAAATACTTTTTTCCTAATCAATATACTCCATTAGTATTCTTTTTCTTTTAAACATACTCCACTCCTAATAAAAATATTACTATTAAAGAATTCAATTCTTATTTCTTTTATTTTAAAATCATTTTAACTAATACTAGTAAATAAGTAGAAAATGACTTTTTTCTTCTTACTCACTTTAACAATTAAAACAGAATAGCTCTACATATTCAGAATTGAGCTATTCTTTCAATGTCAACACGAAAATTGACTTCAAACACTGCTCTTCTCTTAAGATTTCATTTCTCTCAGGCTCTTTTAGAGGTAAGTATATCTTTCCTTTCCTTTCAATGTATTTGCATCTATGAATATGAATGTTAAATTTGACTGAGCATAAACAATTTTGATAATAAAAAAGGTGTTGGTTCTTATCGTGATAGATTAGTAGAATGGTAAAGTTTCAGTTGCAAGGGTCAATTCATCATTTGGTAAATCCTTCTATTTAGAGGTGTAATTTTTTAATTTTATTTCTACGAGCATCTCTAGAAGAAGAAGCACAGGAAGCGGTAAGATGTTAATGGATTGTTTCTCGATTATTGAAATATTTATAGTAAAAAGTATTACTTTTTTGTAGAGTTGTTGATTAACTACTTACCGATTTCTTAGTTGAGAGGTAATTGCTACCAAATACAATGTTAGCTATGAATTTTTTTTAAAAAAATAGATGTATGAAGGATAAATAGATCGTATAAGTTAGGTAGAGCATGTTATTTTTTTTTCTTAAAAAAATGATGTAGCGCAGTATATTTGTATTTTATAGGAGAGATAATTTAGTAAAGTAAAATAATGGGGAAAGGAGCAATTTTGAAATTGAAAAAAAAACAAAAACAAAGAGTGGTGCTCTTATTCCGGAAAAGCAAGGTGGGAAATCTTAACAGGACTCGTCTCTTTTTCCTTATCAGAATCAGAAGAAGAAAGAAGAAGATACTTTTTATTCGTCTCTCAGGTATGGTGTTCCTCTTACAATCAATCTATAATGCTTATGTTTGTTTGTTTGAGAGGCCGATCCGCCCACCCTCATGATGGATGGGTCAAACCTGTTTTTTTCCATAAAAACAAACCAGACGCTCAACGTCTATCTTTTCCGTTTTCCCTTTTTGAGTTTTGACCAATTGTTAATTAGATGAAAATCAACAATAGGGTAAGAAAAGGGGGTTTGATTGAATTATGCTGGAATATTCTGTCTTGTTAGCATGTGTATTTGTGAACAAGGTTCACCGCACGCGTTTATTTGACCTTTTCCGTATTATATTGGGTCTTGTCTTCTAATTAATTAATCTCGTGCGTTTTTGTGACAGCACAAAATTTGACAGCTATATAGTCTTGCTTGTGGGGCTGTCATTATAGTTCATCTATATTGGCAGCCCAATTTCTGAGGTGTGTCTTCTTTCTCTTCACCGGCAAAACAAATATATCATCATGGCTTACTTGTCTGGAATCCTCCAAAGACCTATAGTTGCAGCATCTGCAGTTGCTATAGCTTCTGTATCTACTGATCTTCATGAAAAATTCTGGCCATCTAAGTCATTACACAACAACAACAACAATTCCCAAGAAAAGGAAAAGATAACATCTTGGGTCTCTCACATATATCTTTCTAAGCTACCCCATTTCTCCTCCTACCTCACCACAATACCTGTTCCCCTGCCTATTCTAAATAACACCAATTTTACTTCTCTTTCAACCCTTCCTTTTCCTACTTCTTCTCTGTTGCTCAACTCTTATCAATCAGCAGCATTGCCCAACTCTGCTAATCCCTCCACATATACATATACACTTCCTTCTTCACCTTCCGAGGTGTTGTATACATGGCACTTACCTGAGCCAAATGCATCACGGAATTCTGATTCTTCACCACTAAAGTCTACCACTCTGGTAGTATTGTTGGGATGGTTAGGTGCAAAGCAAAAGCATCTAAAGAGATATGCAGAGTGGTATGCATCAAGGGGATATCATGTCATTACATTTACTTTCCCAATGTCTGAGATTCTAAGCTATCAAGTCGGGGGAAAGGCAGAGCAAGATATTGAAATGCTTGTGAATCATCTAGGTGATTGGTTGGAAGAAGAGCATGGAAAGAACTTGGTCTTCCACACTTTCAGCAATACTGGATGGTTAACGTGAGTTCTTGATGATACTCATTAGTCTAGGAAGAGAACAGAAACATAACTATTTACATTTTCCTTAATGCTAGCTTGATAATTATTGATTGACTTCTTTTATTCTCTTGGCCTTACAGTTATGGTGTCATTTTGGAAAAGTTTCAGAAACAAGATCATGCTTTAATGAGAAGGATTAAGGGTTGTATTGTTGATTCTGCCCCTGTCGCAGCTCCCGATCCACAGGTATTGCTGACTCAAAAATTGTGATGATAAGATATCATTTTTATGTGCAAGTGTCAGAAGAGTGTTTCTTGGAGAGTAGTCTTATTTCTGAAAGTTAATGCAGAGCACTTGTTTAGAGCTATACATTTCTATTGAAAACCAACCTTTTCATGCTTTTATTGGACAACTATTACAAGTGTCATATATAGTCAGGTTTTAGCCATTCAGAATTGCACAGTTGTTTGGATTCTAAACAGGACCTGCTGTTCTCGTATTTTTATCCTGTTGCTTTCTTTTATCTTAGGGCCTTAACCATGCAGCCTGCTTTTCGAAAACTATTCTTATGCTTGATAACGTGAAAGAATCTTGAGAGTTTAGCTCTCTCTGACAACTTTTTAACAGGAAGCATTCTATGCAACTTTTGTTTCACGGTTCAAGCTTTAAGCCTACTTATTCTGGCTGAGAATAAGCCATCGAGGAATTTCCCCTTGGAGCTACTAAACTGCACACGTCCCTGCGACTACTGGATCTCTCCAGTAACAACTTTGGAGGAATGCTTCCATGAGGCTTCGACAGGCTAGAAAGTCTCACATCCTTTTCAACAATAACAACTTTACTGGAAATATACTGCCTCAAACAGGAAACTTGACTAACTTGGAAGATTTGTACCTAATCCATAACATGCTCTCCGGAAGAATTCCAGTGGAAATAGGAAAGCTTCAAAGGCTGTGTGAACTACCTATAGCTATGGAAACCAGTTGTCAGTAACTACCCCCAGAGAATTGACAAATTGCTTAGTACGCATTGATTTCTTGGCTAATCAATTTTCAGGCTCTATTTCTGATGCCATTGGTAGGCTTAAGAATCTTGTTATCTTCAGCTAACTCAGAATGAGTTGTCTGGTCCGGTCCCATCAAGCTTAGCCTACTGCAGGAAGCATGAAAAACTGGCCTTTGCTGATAACAAACTTTCAGGATAATTGCCACCAACTTTAAGATTTCTATCAGAGCTGGACCTGACTACTCTTTACAACAATTGTTTTGAAGGTCCACTTCCTGAATATCTTTCCCTTCTGAAAAATCTCAGCAAAGTTAACTTTTCTCACAATAAGTTCAGTGGAAACATTTCTCCGCTAGCTGGTTCAAATTCTCTGACAGTTGACATGACAAACAACAGCTTCTCTGGTCCTATCCCATCTGAGCTAGTGGTGTCCAAAAATCTGACCCATCTTCGCCTTTCTAACAATTTTTTCACTGGAAAAACCCCTTCTGAATTTGGACAACTTGAAGATCTCAGATGTCTTGACTTATTGTTCAAAAATTTGACTGGAGATCTAGCACCTTCCCTTGCTGGCCTGAAAACCTTCGCTGTTTTCTTCTTATATCTAATCAATTTTCGGGGAAAATTTCCACATGGTTTGTGGAGGAATGGAAGGTCTTGGTGAGTTCGATCTTTCATTCAACAACTTCACTGGAACAGTTCCAGCAGAACTTGGAAACTCTCCAAAATAACTCAAACTTTTTCTCAGTTACAACAGATTATTAGGTGCCATACCACCAGAATCAGGAAATCTCACAAGTTTAAATGTCTTGAATCTTCAATGAAACAATCTTTTTTGGCTCCATTCCTTCAACTCTTCAAAAATACCAGAAGCTCTATGAGCTGAGGCTCTCTGAGAATAATATAAGTGGCTCAATCCCTTACGAAATTGGCTCTTTATCCGAATTACAGGTGATAATAGACCTGAGCAAAAATCATTCTATTTTATGTGCAAGTGTCAGAATAGTGTATCTTCAAGCATAGTCTTATTTCCAAAGGTTAATGCAGTGCAATTGTTAAGAGCCATACATTTCTATTGAAATCCAACCGTGTCATGCTTTTATTGGATAAGTATTACAAGTGTCATATATAGTCTGGGCTTAGCCATTTAGGAATTGCTCAGTTGCTTGTACTCTTATCAGGACCTGCCGTTCTCTTATTTCGATCATGTTGCTTTCTTCTATTTAGGCCTTAGACATGCAGCCTGCTTTTCAAAATATATTCTTACACTTGATAATGTGGAAGTTGTTCATTCTTGATTTAGTCTTCAAGGGAAGGTGGATGGCCTGGGGGTCAGCTGTGGACATTAGGAGGAGGGAGGGGAAGCTAGTACTTGTTTAGTTGCATATAATAAATGTTAATCTGTGCTTTGGTAAGGTTAAACTAATTTTGTCAAGTTCCCTTCTTTGTTTGTATCAAGGTCTGGGCTTCTGGATTCTCTGCTGCCTTTTTAAAGAAGAATAGTGTTGCAACAAAACGCATCATGACTTTAAACGACAGAGATGTGACAATAGAAGCCAAAACTTCTGTTGAAACTAAGCCTGCAGTAACTGAAGCAGCGTTGCTATTAGTACTGGAAAAGTTCTTTGAGGTGGTTTTGAACCTTCCCACCGTAAATAGGTAAGGAGATGTCTTCCAGAATCACCTTTTCTGCAAATGTTTATCAGCCTGCAGTATTTTTAAACAGCAGTACCAATATTAAATCTACTTTTTGTCTTTGTACTCTACTCAACGTGCGAAGTAGACCTTGTCGATATCATGTCCATTCACCAATGGATTGTAATTACATTTTCAAGTCATTAGTGTGTATAGCAAGTGCCAAAAATAGTTTCGTGTTTGTACTTACATTGATGGTTGTATGAAATTGCAGGAGGCTTTCTGACGTTCTAGATCTATTGACATCCCGGCAACCAAGTTGCCCTCAATTATACATATACAGCAGTGCCGACAGAGTCATTCCTGCAGTTTCGGTTGAGTCCTTTGTAGAAGAGCAACGAAGAATTGGTCGCGATGTTAGAGCTTGCAACTTCGTTTCTACACCTCACGTTGATCATTTCAGAAATGACCCAGAATTGTATACTTCACAGCTTACCCAATTTCTAGAGGACTACGTCCTAAGCTCTTGCAAACAGCCTTCTTGAATAATTCCTAACCACAACACATTGATTCTTTCTGCCCTTTTTTTCCCTCACTTCAACCAAATACTTGGTAAAGCTTCTGTTTTCCAACTTTAAAGCAGATATACATTGATGTAGATTGTTACGTATACAGAGAATTAAGATTTTTTTTTCTTTTCCATTCTTATTTAATTTAGTTGTATCTGTGGTCTCCCAGCAACAGAATTGTTGCATTGTACCCAAAATATACTTTACTTTACTACATATATATAAAAAAGTTGGGCTTAATTGTACCGTCATGAGTTTAGATTGTACTATACTTCAAATTTCCAAACAAAATCATTGCCTCTAAAAAAGTACAAAATCTGTCATCAATATTAACAAGTTGTTGTAATGGTATTTCAGGTATTCAACTTTAATTTTTGCTTGACATATTTGTACCTCTTGCATAAAAAACAAACTAGCTTGATTTAATACTAAAATTATCCAAGTATATTTCAATTTTCCCCATAGTTATCCAAACTATTGTTATTCCCAAAGAGAGTTGACATTGCAATTTTTTTCTTCCCTCATATGAATTCTTCTTTCCAAATTTATTGTCTCTCCTGCAATTACTCAATTTTTTTTTATACAAATAGATATAAAATTGAATTCTTATTGAAGCAAGCCCTCCTAAAGTTCTCATCTTTGTGATTTCAGGTACTATTTTTAGGGGTGTTCTTCTCTCTCTTTTTTTGGCATTTTAGCATATGGATCTTTTGTTGGATTTAGATTTTCTTGAAAAAAAATGCTGATTTTTTACACAAGATTTATAAGCTTTCAATTTTACCAATTTTACCCCATTCCACCACCTCTCCCTACCCTCGATAATCCCTCGCCCCCTAATTTATTTTTAAAAAAAATTATTAAAAAATCTTTCAATCCCCACCCCCCTCCAAACCACCCACTCCTTCCAAATTTTTTTAATATAATTTTTATTTTTTAAAAAGAAAAAAAGAATCTACTACCCCATCTAATCCTCCGCTCTATTTATTTTTTTAAAAAAAGTTCTCGATTTAGGTTAGATATATGTATGTTTTTAGGAAAGATTTTTCTACTTGCATACCGAATATAACAAAATTGAAATTTTTATTTAAAAAAACAAACTTGCGACAAGTAGAAATACTCTCCTAAACACACACTCACAAATAATATTTTTATAAAAGAAATTTAATGGATGGGTACAGTGAGAGTAGGTGAGTGAGTGGGATAAGAAAAATATTTTAAATTTTATTTTTTAAACAAAATAATATTATTTTTTTGAATGGTAATACTTTAATCTTTAATTTTTAACTAATACGAATAATTTAATTAATATTTGTCTAGTTGGTGCTGACATCCCTATTTTTACAAATAAGGCGCAACGTTGTGGGAACTCACAAATAATAATTAATTCAATTTAATTTATTTAAAAGAATTTTAGAAAGAAATTTAGAGAATCGCCACTTAATTTTAGGATAATTAGGAAATCAACTAATTAATTAACCAAAAATAGTATACGAAACCAATAGATTCTAGGTAAGGGTTTAAGTGATTCTGAACGAAAGATATTAGCACCCTTCAAAATTCACAATTATGAGTCCCGACTGAATTCATTTTTTTTTCAAATTGAGGAGGAGATAAAAATAGCATACAAGTATAATAAACATGAAATATACACAAATAATAAAGTAAAGCAATAACATGAGAAACAACCTAGTGTTTGCCTATCGTCAATAATAATATTATTCAAATTTCATTCGAATAACTTTCTCATGAAGCAACTTTGGGTACCTGTAAATACACTTAGTAAAAATGTTAATAATTAATTAAAATGAATCAAATTAAATGAAAGATATAATAATTAAAACAAAATTGTCTTGCGTTACAGGACAGGCCTTGGAAGCCAACGAAAATTTCTTCAACAATCAATACCAACTTGTAATGTATAATGTGAAGTTAAACTAAAAAATTAATGTAAATTAATATGTAATAGCCTGCTAACTAAATGATAATAATAAATGTCAACACAATAGCTCAATCATAACAAAAACATCAACTCGACTGGAAATCTTTGGAAGACATAAAATTAATTCATATAAATCAACAACAACTAAATATGAACAAAATAAATAAATAAAGCATATACATAATAAAACATAAAGAAAATTTCTTTATTGATATCCCAGGTGGAACCGGTAAAACTTTTTTGTATCGTGTGTTGCTGGCTACTGTGAGACATCGAGGATTTGTTGCTTTAGCAATAGCAAGTTTCGGTGTTGTAGCCTCGCTTCTTCCAGGAGGTCGAACAACACATTCCTGTTTTAAATTACCTATAGAAATTGATGGAAATTTTAGTTGCAATATAAGTAAACAAAGTTCATTAACGTCTTTAATTCGAGATGCAAAATTAATAGTGTGAGATGAAATTTCAATGACAAAAAAGGAAATGATTGAGGCACTAGACTTGCTTCTCAAAGATTTAATGGAAACAAATATTCTAATTGGTGGAAAAGTTATTGTATTTACTGGCGATTTTAGGCAAACTCTGCCTGTTGTTCGTGGTGGTAAAAGAGAAGATTTTGTTTCTGCAAGCTTACTTTGCTCTAAAATTTGGAATGAACTTGAAAAACTCCAACTGTCCGAAAATATGCGAGCAAAAATAGATCCTGCCTTCTGCCAATATTTGATGAGAATTGGCCATGGAAAAGAAAAATAAATAGCCAGGGAAAAATTGAAATTTCGCGTTCTTTTATTATTCCTTTTACTGATGAAAAAGATTCCTTAAATATTTTATTCAAACTTGTTTATCCCAATCTATATACATCTGCTTCAAATATTTCTTTCATTACTTCCCGCGCTATTCTAACAACCAAAAACGATTTTATTGACAAAATAAATGACATGTTGATTATCCAATCTCCATCTAATATTAAAGTATATATTGTTGATGAAACTCTAGACCCAAAAGATCAAAGTGAATATGAAGACTTTATGCATACTTTAAACCCTCCAGGATTGCCTCCTTACAAATTATCTTTAAAAAAACATTGTCCAATTATATTACTAAGAAATCTAAATCCTTTGGTGGGTTTGTGTAATGGAACACGATTAACATGCAATGACTTTAAATCACATATTATCAGTGCCACAATTTCTAGTGGTGATTTCAAAGATACTCATGTATTTATTCCAATAATACCACTATTAACATCACAAGATGAAAAAGATACCCTTTCAATTTAAGAGAACACAATTTCCAATACGCTTATGCTATGCTATGACTATTAACAAAGCTCAAGGTCAAACACTAGATTTTGTTGAAATTTATCTGAGAGAACCTGTTTTTTCTCATGGCCAACTATATGTTGCATTATCAAGAGCTAAACGTTTTAACTGTGTTAAAGTTTTAATAAGACCGCCAACAGTTGAGAATAAAAATAATTGTTGTACACATGATATAGTTTATGACGAAATTATTGCAAAAACTTTTCTCTAAATTGATACTATTGTAATTTACGGTAAAAAACTCCCCTTATTTTCTGTGACAATTTTACCTTTCAATCATTTTATATTATGTTATGCAACTTAGTTACTATCTATATTCTATTTGCTAATATTGTTATTATATGCACTAACAACATCACAATATAATCGCAGATCATCTCATGGCAGAAAGATTAAGCATAAATGTTGTTACCAGCGAAACCAAAGAATGGACAGTTAAAGTGCAAGTCGTTGATAAGGGTCGACCTAGAGATAACTTGCAAAAAATCAATAAGTATCAACTGATGATTCTTCAAGATGAAGTAGTACGACATTGCTTTCATCACATCCACTTACATTTTCCTTAATCTTCTTTATCTAGAACTCAATCCTCACTTAAATTAGCTTTGCAGTTACATTTATCCATGCCTAAGACATTTGTCATTCTCCATTGGTCTTCTCAGTCTCTTCTTTTATAGCTATGTTATTTCCTATTTAGCTCACTCACTTTTTCATGACTAAAGCAAACACAAGCACTATTAGTTATCAAAAATCATTGTCTGCAGGCAAAATAGAAATACAATTCAAGTAGAATCCTATCATTATTCCTGCAGACAATACTAAGACTTCAGATTTGACAATTTGTTTGGAAATGCTCTTTGCCTTCTGAAGACTTGATTTACTTTTACTGCCACTTAATATATACCTTCATGTTCCTGGCATACCTCAATGCTTTTCAATCATAAAGTGATATGCAAAATCAATGAGATGAAATGAGTTTAATTTTACTAACAACAAATACATTACTCTTTAAACTTCGTTCATTTAGTTTCAACTCACACGTCTTAGCTAAGCACTTATATTTTTTTTTGTTCCCTTCTGCTCTTAGTTATCTCTTCTGTCATTTTCATTTATTGCTGCAGATTCTCAGCAAAATTCACCTAATCTTCAATGATTTACCTCTGTTCCCCAAGTAATTTAAATGGTATTTATGTAGAAATCAACAACTGATTTGTATAGCTTAGCCATTTATGTAGTATTTTTGCTCAATAGTGTTAGCCTCAATGAATATTATGTTTGTTCACACTTAATTGTACTTACAAATAAATAAAGTTCAATAATACTGTTGCCATGATTAATCATCTGAATACAACAATAGTCCATTTCTTTATCTGCAACAAATCTGCCTGCTACCGCCCCTTCCCAAAATTTTTATTATGTATCATAAATTGACTATCTTCAGACGACATTCGTCCAATGTGTAGCATGCCCCTTTTATGCATTTTTAAGCTATATTAATTGCTGCTTACATGCATTTTGAAGTTAAAACTTGAAAATTTAAGTTTTGGAAATAACCATACTTTATACTTGGAAAAAAATAAACTTCTGCAACTAAAAAAAAACCTTAAAATTTTTAAATTAAACACAATTTTGCTGGCCACAAAATAATATAATATGTGAGATTTAACTGACTCAATTGTATTTTCTGTTTTCCATAGGAAACACAAGTCCAAGGAATTATGTATGGCAGCGATATAAAGAGTTATGCTGAATTGTTTCTTCCATACCATACCTATTTGATATCAGTTGCAAGTGTTACCGAATCAAACCATGCATATGAAATTCCAATCAACACTTTCCTTTGGACAATTGACAAAGGCACTCTCA